AGAACATGGCTCCATGCTGGCAGACAGCACGATAAACTTGGCCCTCAATCTCTACAAGACCATGGTCAAAGACCGGAAATTATCATCTGACAACATCCTCTTTTCACCTCTGGTGGTGGCTTCCTCTTTGGGGGTGATGTCTCTGGGCGCCAAAGACAAAACAGCGAACCAGGTGAAGTCCCTTCTGAACATTAACTTGCGTGATGATGTTTTTCATCCAACTTTCTCAGAATTGTTTAATGAGGTCAGCAATGAAACGACCCGCAACACCACTTGGAAGATTGGCAGTCGGCTCTATGGACCAAATTCAGTCAAATTCAGGGATGACTTTGTTCAGAAAAGCAAGATGCACTACAAACACGACCATTCCAAGATAAACTTGAGGGATAAGAGGAGTACAATCCAATCCATCAATGAATGGGCCTCTCAGACAACAGACGGAAAGCTAAAAGAAATCGTAAAGGATATGTCTAGTGTTGATGGTGCCTTATTTGTTAATGCCATGTACTTTAAACGTAAGTATTGCATTCAGTGTTAAAGATTTTGCATTAAATGGTGTCAGTTTTTGTATGTAAATATTCAGTGACTATGCACTTGACTACAAACTTATTTTTAATTTGCTTTTTACAGCACACTGGGACGAAAAGTTTCATGACCCCCTGGTTGATAAAAGAGGTTTTATGGTGACCAGAACCCATACTACTTCTGTACCTATGATGCACCGTACAGGCAAGTGTTAAAAATTTGAGACATGTTTTTGAGTCACACAGCCCAGGACAGTCGTAGATTTGATCCTTGCTGAGTTAGTAGCCTGGATTACTTTAGGGGTGTTGCATTTGTTTTCACTGCTGTGAGTTAGAAACATTTCTCAGAGGTCTTACTAAAAGCAACTTCAACTGAAAATGTACTTGTATGGACAACAAAGGAGAAAAGGTTAAGCTTGACTGATTCTTCAAAATCTTGGAGCCTTAGAAGCCTTGAAACATTGGCTGAGAAAGCTCACACATGAACGATGGCTATCTGGGCAAGATATCAGAGTACATCAGACAGCCTTAACACCTCTAGTGACACAACTGCTTTCACTAGAGGGGAGAATACTTGCAAAATAAAAGAAACATATGTATATTTGTGGAGAAAATGTTTTGTATTTTCCATTGTATTTTTTCTATGAAGATACTCTTAAGTGCAATGAAATAAAGCATTAATCCACATATTTCAACTGCTTAGCGTTAAAACTTTGTCTTTTGTTTGGAATTGTAGATCTTATGTTGTTTATCTGCTGCAGTCTTTAATCACAATGACGATTAAGAGATCTGCTTTGAAGTGCTTGTCATTTCTGATATGTGACTACAAATTAATCTTTCAGGTCTGTATAATTACTATGAAGATGAGGTTAATAAGGTTCAAATTATTGAGATGCCTCTGGCTCACAAGTTTTCCAGCATGATTTTAATAATGTCTCGGCATGTGGAACCTCTGGAAAGAATAGAGAAGTTACTAACAAAGGAACAACTCAACAATTGGTTTAGCAAGCTGCAGAAACGTGCTATGAGTGTCTCTCTTCCCAAAGTCAACATTGAAGTCAGCCATGAGCTACAGGTAATATCTGTAAATTAGTCACTTTTGCATAACTAAGGAATTAAATTAAAGATACATACTTCTAATGAAAATTTGAATTCATAGATAATTTACGACTTAAAAAGTATCATGTAAACTTAACATAAGAGATGAACATATTCAATTAAGGAGGAATTTTACTTTCTAAACTTAGTTCAACAATTCATCGCTAGGTGTACCTGTAAAACACTACTGGAGTTTTGCTCACTGCGCAAAATTCATCCTGGACAGCAAAGATATCTTCAAGCTTCTTTCCTCTATGAAAACCACTCTTTTAAAATCTGTTGTCTATGCCTTTTGCACCCTCACTCCCATGTAGAAGGAGCTAATTGATGTCTTTGTCACTAAGAATTATAACGTCTGCTAGGCTACCTCTTCCTTCCCCTTGACAATACAAACCTCCTTGAAGGTTCACCTTTCACTTCTTTATCTCTAAATTCTGTTCTATATTGCCTCATGACCTCTCCAAGCTCATCAGTTCATGAAATTATTCCTTAATCCTTCTTCCACTAAACTGCTGACTTACTTCTTTCTAAACCTCAAGCTAGCTGATATTTCAATTTTATTTCTCAAAACTAACATCATAATTTCCCAGCTGAAAAATAACTTAAACCCCCCCGTCTTCTAAACTATCAAATCTTCTCTTATCAAAGTTTGTGGACTGTTGTTGAATCCATAAAATACCATAATTTACCACAATTCCGTGTTATATCTCACCTAACTACAGATTAAAATGGCTCATATAAAAGTCACTAATTGCATGCTGTCTCCTTGTTATTCTTGACTTTAATGCAGCCTCTGACAATCATCTTCAAACAACACTCCTCTTCGAACAACACTCCTCTTCTGTTGTTTAGCTCATTGGGACTGTTTTTGCATGATTCAACTCTTGTCTGTTCTGCCATAGACTGGGAATATAATTATTTTTATTGCTTCCAGACCTTAACCACTGGAATTTCAAAGATTTATCTTTTGACTTCCTTATCTTTAAAATAAATATTCTGCCCTTTGGCAAAATCATCTGAAGACATTTATGGTGACCTTTCTGAATCTCTCCATTATTTCTGTGTTTTCAGACTACTATACAACATGCAGCCATGTATGACTTGCATTTTCTTGCAGTTAAACATTTGAAAGCCCAGAGTCATTGGCTCTGGCTCTGGTCACAAAGCTTTTTTTGGCAACTCAAAAATCTGCCTTTCTCTCCATTTCCCTCTCCCTTTTTAATATCCACATTAAATCCACCATTTTGGTCAAGAATTTAAACAGCCAGAAATCGGAACAAAATGGAATTAATAAAGTATGGACGACATGGGTAACAGAAAAGGATGATTTGAGAGGTCCAATCTTATTTCCCTATGTTCCAGTAATCCTACAAAGTAGCTTAGGTTGACACACAGATCTACAGCAAAAATTTGGTACTACATTCATACTAAACCAGAATATCACATTTTAAACTCATTTTATATAAAAGCCTTGCAGCTATCAGATGCTGAGACCTATTTTTTGTCTATTTTAACTGGATTGAAATTTAGATGCTTGATATCCAGAGTGAGTCTGCATATTGATGCTTTTGTTCTTGAAGTCACTGACATAAATACATTTCTGTTATTATTAACATACTGAACTAGCCACCCCCATCAACAATGAATTAATTTTTTCCCATGAAAAAATTAGATTTAATTTGAAATCAGGTAAACTTGACAGCCAGCTGGTTTACTAATGCTTCCTACATCCAGTCTAATTAGAAACAGGTCGAGCATGTAACTCGATGGTTGACTCGATGCTTGCAGTGGAATTAAGTGAAGATTTTAAAAAAAGAGGCATAGTGAATAAGATTATTGTCCAGATAATGTTTTTACTTTGTTTTTCAGTAACAAATGTAGGTTTTTATTTACAGCATAACTAGTTTTGCTTTGCTTATGATGGTTTTCATTTTTTGAAAATCTTCTTTCCTTGTTTCTTAGAAATATATGCAAGAGCTTGGTCTGACTGAAGCTGTAGATAAGGATAAAGCTGATTTCTCAGGTATCACAGGGAAGAAGGATCTGCACCTGTCCAACATGCTCCATGTTACTGCTATTGAATGGAACACTGAAGGAAATCCTTATGATACAGACTTGCATTCCCATGAGTCAATGAAAACACCCAAGCTCTTCTACGCAGATCATCCCTACATCTTCCTAGTCCGAGACAAGAAAACTAACTCTATACTCCTTATTGGGAAGTTAGTTAAACCAAAAGGCAATAATCACGATGAGTTATAAACTTCAACTGAACGAGTACAGGACTGTTCTGTATGTACATTAATGACCTCACATTTAGATTACTTGTGACATGGGGGTGGTGTAAGAATCATTCCTGTTATTGTGGTTCCACAATATTGACCCTGTGGGGCAAAAGTATGTTGATTGTGTTGAACGCTAATACCTGTGATTAGGGACAGTTGACAAAGTGTCCAAACAAATGCATTTTGTTCCACTAAAACTAAGAATATTAAAAGCCAAGACTACTAAATGCATCTTAGTGGCAGGATTTAAGGAATTTACAAACTTACAATGATATATGACAAAGCTATTATCATGGGATTAATCATTACACATGCAATTCTATTCTCTTACTGTCATTTTGTTTTCATTTGAACAGCCTTGTAGATCCCTAAATATATTATTTGTAAGATCAAGAGAACAAAAAATTATAATCTATATGATTCATGTCTTCATTGCATGTAAATTAATCCATAAATATTTTTAATCATTCTGTTCTTTAACAACAGATACTACCTACATGTGCATGAGTTTGCTCAGAAAGTGAGGTTGTTGATATCACCAAGAAAAGAATATTTTCCTTCTGTGCAACATAGTCTGTAAGTGAATACAATTCTTCAGCAGACAGTGTTACATCTATTTTTCTACATATTTTGGTGAGCTGGATCATTCAGAATAACCTTGTCTCATTTCTACTGTTCTTAATAAAAAGAACAAAAACGTTACTGGCCTGCAGTGTCTTTTCAAATTATAGAAATCAAATGCACCGTCTATATATCTAGGTGTAAAGTAAGATAATCTTAACATTCTAAGCAACAGCTTTAAAAGATGTCGAGAGAGGGTAAAGTTTAATGGTTAGTGCCACTACCATGCAAGGATGGAATATCAGCTTTATTTCAGGAGCAGTGCATGTCGAAGGGGGGATCTTGTGGGAATTTTCAAAAGTATTTAATACATAGAACCACAGAAACTTCATGGCATCGAAGGAGACCATTCAGCCCATCATGTCTGTATCAGCTGAAAAAAAGAAAAAGACGTAGCTGCTCATTTTAATCCCACCTTCCAGCACTTGGTCCATAGCCTTGCAGCTTACAGCACCTCAGGTGCAGATCTCACTATCTTTTAATTGAGTCAGAGTTTCTGCCTTAACCACCAAGCTAGATGATGAAGTACAGATATAAAAATTGCTAGAAAAGCTCAGCAGGTCTGACAACATCTGTACAGAGAAATCAGAGTTAATGTTTCTGGTAACGTTCCTTTCTCGGAACTACAGATGTTTACTACCCTGTTCCTTGTGTCCATCAATCCTTCAACCATCACTTCAAATCTGCACACTCTGGTAACTGACCTCTCAATTAGTGGAAACCAGTATTTCCCGTCAATATTGGCCCCTTATAATTGTGTACACCTTACACGTCACTCCTGAACCTCCTCTGTTCTGAGGAAAGCAATCATAGTTTATCCAATCTCTCAGCTGCAATTTTCAAGCCCTGGTAACATTCTTATAGGTCTCTCCTGTACTCTCTTCAGAGCAATTCTGTTCTTCCTGTAAAGTGAACAGAGCTGCACATCAAATTCCAGCTGTTGCTTAACTACTATTTTTTTAAAATTCAACATTAGGGCCAGCTTTTGTATTCTATACCCTTTCCAATAAAGCAATTCATTTTTTTTTGACCAGGTTAGCCTCTTGTGCTGTCACTTTCAGGAACCTTTGGATATACATGCCAAGATCTTATTTACTGTAACCCTCTCAGTAATCTTTATTTGATTTATATGCTTTATCTATCCTTATCAATTGCAGTATCTCTGATTATCTCGACTGAATTCCATTTACTACTTTACTGCCCACTCAACCAAACTATTGACATCGTCCTGCAGTCAACAGCCATCCTTTCCACCATTAACTACATGGCCAGTTTTTGTGTCATCTGCAAATGTCTCAATCATGTTTTCCACATTTATGTTTACAACAAACAGCAAGGGCCAACACAGAGTCTTATGGAATGCCACTGGAAACCACTTTCAGTTTGTAAAAGCATCTTCTAACCGTTACCCCTTTGTTTCCTGTTGCTGAGCCAATTTTGGATCCAACTCGCCACATTTGTGTCCCAAAGGACTTTATTTTTGTGACCAGTCTGCCACATGGAACCAACATCTACAGCAATATCCTCATCAATTCTCCTTGTTACTTTTTCAGAAATATTAGCAATTCACAATTTTCCCTATCAAAACCTCGCTAATTAATCTATGCCTAAATGATAGTCTATAGGTGTGAGGCTGGATAAATATAGCAGGTCAGACAGCATCCGAGGAGCAAGTAAGTTGATGTTTTGGGCCGAAACCCTTTCTCAGGAGTGGGAAGAGGGAGGAGAGCCCAGAAATAAACGGTGGGGGGGGGAGGTGTACGTGTGGCTGGGGAAAAGGGTAGGAGAGGTGGTGATATGTGGATGCAGGCAGGGGATTATTGTGATTGGTCTGCGGGAAGGGTGGATAGGTGAGTAGAAGATGGACAGATTAGGTCAGGTCAGGCTGGGGAAGGATGGACATGGGACAAGGCTGGGGATGGAGGGATTTTGAAGCTGTAAGCTTCCAAGGTGAAATACCAAGTGTTGTTCCTCCAGTTTATGTTTGGCCTCACTCTGACAGTGGAGGAGCCCAAGGATGGACATGTCATCAGGAGAGTAGGAGGGGGAATTAAAATGGATGGCAACTGGAAGGTCGGGTTGGTTGTTGCGTGCAGAGCACAGATGGTCTGTGATCCGGTTCCTGAGTCTGTGTTTGGTCTCCCCGATATAGAGGAAACCACATCGGGAGAAACAGATGCGATAGATCATGATAGTTTATTCTATTTTTCAGCATCGATTTCAATAATTTGCTGTCCACAGTAACTACACTGAAAAGGCTATAATTATTTTACTTATCTTTTACAACTTTCTTAAATAACAGTATAGCGTTGCACGCTTCCATTTTCAATTCACCTTACGTAGTCAGGATCTTCCTTAAAGTCTTCATTATTTCCTCAATTGCTTCCTTTAACCGCCTGAGATACGATCCATATGGCTTTGGTTATTTAACCACCTTCATGGATGTCTTTCTCTCCAGTATTTCTTCTCTCATTATACTTATTGTATCAAATATTTTACACTCCTCAAACTCGAATGCCTGCATCATTCCTCTCCTTGCTGAAGATAGACACAAAGTTCTCATTGAGAACCCTGCACATATCTTCTGCATCAGTGATTACCATGTACAACTTTTGCTCAGTTTCCTCATGCTTTTAATTAAATGATAAAACATCTTTGGATTTTGATAGATTTTACCAGCCAACATTTTTCACATCCTCTCTTTGCTTTCCTAATTTCCTTTTTTATTTCACGCTTTTGCTTTCAATACTCCCCAGACATTTAATATTCATTCAGAAGACAATTGCTTCTTTGGCTGAATCAGTAGTCACTGGCAATCCATAAATGCTCTTGAGAACACAGTAGCTACTTTCTTGAACTGCTGCACTGTTTGGTGAAGGTATACCAACAGTCCTGTGAGGGAGGGTGTTTCAGGATTTTGACCCAGTGACGCTGAAAAGGTCAGCTTTATGATGAGCTTGGAGAGGAACGTGTGATGCTCCCAGGTATCTGCTGCATCAGTCTAGATGGTAGGGGTTGTGGGTTTGGAAGTTATTATCAAAAGAACATTAGTAATTTGTGCAGTGTATCTTGTAGATGGTACACACTGCTGCTTTTATGCAAAGATAGTGGATGGAATGAATGTGGTGGTCAATCAAGCAGTTTCCTTTGTGCTGAATGGTATTGAGTTTCTTGTGTGGAGCTACACTCATCCAGGCAAGTGGGAAGTATTCCTCACATTCCTGACTTGTGTCTTATAGATGGCGGACAGGTTTTTGGGACTCAGGAGGTAACTTATCAAAGAATTCTTAGCCTCTGTCCAACTCTTGTAGCTACAGATTTTTTTTTGGATAATCCAGTTCAGATTCCAGTCAGTGGTACTGAATCCTACACTGGGTTTGAATTCCATCACAGTATTGAATTCAAATTCAATAAAATAAAATCCGGAATTAAAAGTCTAATGGTGATCATTGTCAATTGTTGGAAAGAAGCCATCTGGTTTACTAATGTCCTAGGTAGTTGAGCTTACTTGCAACTCCAGCTCTGAAATGGCCAAGCAAGCCATTCAGTTGCATCAACCACTAGTAAGGAAAAAAAAAACTGGACGCATCACCCGACATCAAGTAAGGCAGCAAAAATGACAACAGCGAACACAGATTTGTTAACCCTGAAAAGTCCTCGTTACTAACATTTGGGGGCTTGTGCTAAAATTGGGAGAACTCTCTCACAGACTAGTCAAGCGACAGCCTGACATAGTTAGACTCATGGAATTGTATCTTACGCACAACATTCCAGGTAACACCATGACCATGTCCTGCTCAGACGGACTCAGCAGAGGTGGCAACACAGTGGTATACAGTCAGAATGGAGCTGCCCTCTGGGTTCTCAACATTGACTCTGGATCCCACAAAGTCTCTTGGCATTACATCAAACATGGTGAGGAAACCACCTACTGATTGCCATGTACCATTCCCCATAAGCTAACTAATCTGTACTCTTCCACATTGAACGGCACTTTGAGGAAGCACAGAGTAGCAAGGACACAATGTACTCTGGGTGGGGCTGGGTGACCTCCGTGTACATCACCAGAGTGCCTGGAAGCACTACCACAGATTGGGATAGATGTTTCCTAAAGCACTTATCTGCTAGACTGGGACTGCAGCAGGTGGTGAGGGAACCAACAACAGGGAAAACATACTTGACCTCATCCTCTCTAATCTCCCTGTCTCAGATGCATCTGTTCATGACAGAATTGCTAAGAGTGATCAGTGCGTAGTCATCATGGAGAAAACATCCTACTGTCAAAGTGAGAACACCCTCCATTATGTTGTGCGTCTATGTCACTGTGCTAAATGGGACAGACTTCAAGCAGATCTAGCAACTCAAGACTGGGCATCCATGAGGGGCTATAAACCATCAGCAGCAGCCAAATAGCACTCCAACACAATCTATAATCACATGGCCCAGCATATCACCCACTCTATCATTACCATCATGGCAGGTTTCAATCTTAGTTCAAAGGAAGACTGTGCTGGAAGACAGCAGCAGCAGTATCAGGCATACCGGAAAATAAGACATCAACTTGGTAAAATGACAAAATTGGATTACTTGTGTGCCAAACAGCATAAGCAAGTGACAGACAGAGCCAAGTGATTCCACAATCAGTGGATCAGGTTTAAGCTCTGCAGTGCTGCTTTTTCCAGTCAGGTATGGTGGTGGACTGGAGATTGAGACTCAACAAATATCCTCATCCTCCAATGATGGGGGGGGGGGGGGGGGGCCCGCCCTAGCTCATCATGCAAAAGATAAAGCTGAAGCACTTGCAAAAACTTGTAGCCATAAGTGCCAAGTGAATGATCCATCTCAGCCTGCATCAGAGGTCTACAGCATCTCACAGGCCAGTTTTTAGTCAATTTAATTCACTCTGTGATATCAAGAAACAGTTGGAGGCACTGGTTATTGCAAATGTTATGAGCTCTGACAACATTCCAGTAATAGCACCAAGGACCTGTGCTTCAGAATTTGCTGTGCCCCTAGCTAAGAACTACAACACTGGCATCTACCCAAAGATGGTGAACATTACCAAAGAATGTCCTATACAG